CCAAGGGGCTGCAGCCAATGAGACGGGGGCTCTCACACGCACCTGACTGCTGGGGAACAGCCCTGCAGCTGCCCGACTCCCTCAGCACTGGGGGCGACAGGTGAGTGACTGGAGAGGTGTGAAGGGGACAGGGCAGCAGGGGGGTGCAGGGAATGGGGGGTGACTGGGGGCTGCTCTCCTGCTGCAGGCCCCCGCTGATCACAGGGGGGATGAGTAGCTCAGCCGGATCTCTTCCCCCTCCAGCAGCTTCCTGTAAGACACCCAAAGGGGATAGCGCAGGTCAGCCCCCCAGCCCACACAGGGGTCCCCTGCCAGGCCCGAGCGCAGGGAGCGGCACCACAGCCGCCTGACGGGCCGAGCTCCGAACCCTGCCCCAGCATGATAAACAACGGGGGGAATCTCCGGCCCAACCAGGCGGAGCAGCTCCAGGTCCATCCAGCAGGGGGCAGGCATCCCCCTGTGACCCAGGGAGCGACCTGGGCACCGAGTGATTCTGGGGGGCTGGCGCGGGGGCCCTGTCCATAGCAGGGAGATCTGTGGGGCAGAGCTCGCTGCCCTTGCGTTGGGGCGACATGGGGCTGGTGTGTCCTGCAGCAAGTTAGCCCGAGGGCAGCCAGAAGCATGTAATCCTTGGCTCCTCCCCCCCTCAGAGTGGGGGTCGGGATCCTTCTCCCCACAGCACCAGCAGGGGAGGAAACTGAGGTGAGAAGGGGATGCAGTGCAGGGCTGGGAACCAAACCCAGGAGTCCTGACACAGCCCACCCTGCAGCCCGCCTCCTGGGGACAGCCGCTTCCTTCTGAAGCCTGGGGGAGTAGGGGCCCAGCTGGGGGCCAGGCAGGGCTGGGGGGCCAGTACCTGTAGGCGGCGATCTCGATGTCCAGCGCCATCTTGACATTGAGCAGGTCCTGGTACTCACGCAGGTACCGCGCCATCTCCTGCTTGGCCTCCCTGATCTCCTGCTCCAGGTCGGCCACGCGCTCCTGGCAGGGAGAGAGGCCTGGCCGGTCAGTGCCGCCTGGGCCCTGCTGTCGCTCTCAGCCCTGAGCCTGCCACGTCTGAGCCCGGGGGGTCACAACCCGGCCCCAAGCCCCACTGCCAGCCAGGTCTCAGTGCCTTCGCCCCCTGCACCATCGCTCCCCCGTCCAGCCAGTGTCTGGCCAGGGTACCCCAGCCCCCCACTGGGCAGAGCTCCCAGCCTCCAGGCCCTACGGCCAGAGGCGCTAGGGGTGGGAAAGGCTCCAGGGCTGGGGGCAGAGCTTCCCCAGGCTCTGAATGCCCCCACCCTGGGGCTCCCCACCCTGCCCAGGGAGCTGGCTCCAGACAGACCCATTGCCCTGCCAATGCCTCCCATGACCCCCGGCCCATCTGGCCGCCATTGGGGCCCGGCCCAGTCACCTCCATGGCATTCATGCCCTCAGGGCGTCTGAGCCGACGCAGCACTTCTGTTGGCTCCTGGCGGCTCCGAGCCGAGCGCAGGGGCCATGGGGGCATGATCCCTCTGAGCTGGGGAGCGGGACCGTCCCGCCTGGCCAGGGCCCCCTGCACTGGCTGCAGCAGGGTCCCTGCTCATTGAGAGAGAAACTCCAGTGTGCGCTCCCCTCCCTTCCCCCACTCCTTGCTGCCCCCAGGATGCAGTTTGCTCCCAGTGCCCCTCAAACGGCCCGGCCGCTGTCCCCAATCCCCCTGGCCCAGAGCTGCCCTCTCCCAAGGATCGAGGGCACTTCCCAAGCTCCCTCCTTGTGCCTGGTGCCAGCCGCTCCCCAGCGCAGGCAGTGATGCAGAGCCCTGCCCGGGGCTGTTTGCACCCTACTGCTGCTTGTGGGGAGGGCGTCGGACCCTGGCAAGGGGACTGGGCAGACCTGGGCCCAGCTTTCTGTCCATGCCACGGGGGGCTAAATGAAGCGGAGAACCCAGGAGTCCTGGCTCCAGGCCCGTGCGCCTGCCCTCCACAGGCGAGGGAGCCTGGCTTGCCCTGCAGGCCCTGGCCTCACCTGGTACGTGGCCACCTCGCTGCTCTGCCTGTCCTCCACGCTCTCCAGCTGCTTGTTGAGCGAGTCGATGATGCTGCGCAGGGCCTCGACCTCGGCCGAGCGGGACTGCAGCAGGCGCCGGTACTCGGCCGTCTCCTCCCGCATGGACCTCACCGCCTCGTTGTTCTTGCTGGCTAGCTCGGCCACCGAGGCGAACCTGGTGCGGTACCAGTCTTCGGCCGCCTGCATGTTCCTGCCGGCCAGCGTCTCGTACTGCGCCCGGATCTCCCGCAGCGCTGCCGCCAGATCGGGCTTAGCTCCCGCCAGGCTCACGTCCACCGGCAGACTGGCCGCCTCCACCTGGGCCGACAGCTCGGCACTCTCCTGCCCGAAGACCTTGTGGAGCAGGGAGATCTCCCCCAGCAGGGAGCCGATGCTGCCCTCCACGTCGCTGTTAGCCAGCGCGGCCTGGCCGGCCTCCTCCCGCACCTTCCGCAGCGTCTCCTCGGCCTGCAGCCGCAGCCGCGCCTCCTCCTCATAGCGCTCCTTCAGCTGGCTGCAGGAGTCGCGCAGCTGGTCCCGGCTGGCCTCCATGCGCATCTTCTCGCCCGCCTCCGTCTCCAGCAGGCCGCGCAGGCCGCGCAGCTCCTGCCGGTACAGCAGGTGCAGGCGCGAGGGGTCCTGCTGCTTCTGCCGCAGCGCCTCCAGCTCCACCAGCAGCACCTTGTTGTGCTGCTCCAGCCGGCGCACCTTCTCCACGTAGGTGGCGAAGCGGTCGTTGAGGTCGACCAGCTGCTCCTTCTCCTGGGCCCGCAGCCCCAGCAGCTCCGCGTTCAGGCTACTCACCTGGGACAGGTCCAACTTCTCCAGGGAGGCGACGCACCCCGAGCGCTTGGCAGGGGCCAGCGCCGGCCGGTGCAGGGCGTACAGGGAGGAGGAGACGGTGGACTTGGTGGAGCGGACGCTCCGGTACTCCTGCCACGGCTTGCGGAAGCCATAGGGGTCATAGCTCATCTTGGCCAAGGGGGCCTGGCTGCCAGGGCAGCTGCAGGCGGGGGGGGGGAGCGGGGGGAGGCAGAGCCAGCAGTTGCAGCGAGGGGGGGAGCAGAGGCTGCAGGGGGGGCTGGGGGTGGGGGGCACAGCCAGCAGCTGCAGCGGGGGCTGGGGGGGGAGGGGGGGACACAGCCAGCAGCTCCAGCACCAGCCACGGCTCTGCACCAATGCCAGAATGCTGCAGTGCCCTTGCCTTTATATAGGCC